TGTCTGGATTTTCTTTCTTCATTTTGATTTTGCCATGGGAGAAGAGAGGAGCGGCGGAAATGATCTAGGGTTAGGGTTAGTGTTACTAACCATAATTATATCCACTGCCAGCTAAAACAACCCCGACGTCGTCGTTTGATGCGTTTACCACCAAAACAACCCGAGAGAGTCCGAACCGCAAATAAAAAATAAATCCTATCCTATGATCAAACCATCGACCTGACAGTCAAGTTCATTTTTCAGTCGACAATTTAAACCACTAGGCTGGTCGCCTACCAGTTGTGCAAATATTAATCTCAGTTCATTTTAAGTTAAATAACCATAATACGTAACTTAAACACATTGATTTCCTTTGTATATCTCAAGGATCAATAAACCTCTAATACTTTCTATAAAAAAAAATAAACCTCTAATAATGATTTCTATAAGAATCATTAACTTCATTTGAAATAATTGCATGTATACGTATGTTTCTTTTCTAAAAATCCTTAATACGAAAAGACATGCTTACTAGAATGCGAGATCGTGTAACCAATAAATAATTAAGTCAACACACTAAAATTATCTTCAAATAAGAAATGCAATATCTAAACTTACACGATCAATAGAACGTGTAAAGTTTTCTCTTTTCAAAACCGATCAAAACCATCGAACTACGTGGACTTTGATCCCGACTACTCGGGTACGTAGGCAACCAATAGGTTCGAGTCCAACTAATCAAAAATATTTTCTTTACTTCTGAGATTTTGCATCAATAGATTTATGATAAAATATCAATAATTAACACCTAATTATTGAATCACATATTTAAATACGTAAATGAGGCGCAAATTATGAATACACCCAACCTTAAAAACTTATCGATTTAAGTAGTACCAATTTTGGGCGTTGTGGGGTGTGAATACACTTCCCCACACGTAACCGTACTCCAGAACCCAAATCTCTAAAATTTTCGTAGACCACATATCGGTTTCGACCCTAAGGTCGGGACCGAACCAAAAGGCGTTTGATCCACCACAAATAAGGTCGATGGAGACTCTGAGCAATTCGCGACGGGTCCTCCGATCTCTTTCGATTTCGAGGGGTGGTTGCGACAGGAACAACACGCGAATGAGATGGAAGCAGATTAGGTGTTCAGATTTTAGGGTTAAGAGTTGGGGAAATGGGAGAAAGTGAAGACTTGTCTTCTGGGTAGTGGGTGCTGGGTTGCTGGGTAGGGTTAAGGCTAGAGAAATTGACCCTTTGGTTAGCGGGGCGGGTATAACGGGGCGAGTATTATCGATTACCATACCCGTACCCTACACTTTATTTTGAAACCGGGTATTACCCTTACTTGTCCCTTAACCCGTCAAAGGGGGTAATTACCCTCGTAGACCGGTTACGGTCGGGTAGGGTACCCATGCTTACGGGTTGGATTGGCATCCCTACGCAGGAAGCGGATGGTTCGTGGGAGGATCCGTGGGTCACGCGCAAACCCGATCACCATCACACATCATAACACTACTGCCAGCTAGGTCTCGTCTTCTTTTAATTCCCCATCCAAAACAATCGACACTTTCTTACCACATTCTCGAAAAATTATCAGTCAATAATCCTCCACTTCCAAAGAGTGGAGTGGTTGTTTGACTCCACCAAGTTATTTATTTCTTATATATTGCTGGTTTCACCATAGGTAATGATATCAGGATTTTTATTTGTCATAGTTATTAATGATCTCTTCAATCTCTTGTTATGCTAACTGTTGTTTTTTGTTTTACCTAGCTATTGTATTTTGTTTTAACACAGTTGCTGCCTTAACGATTAAAATGGTTTTCTATAGCTTTTGTCTTTTTTTTTCCAGTTGATGCCTCTATTTATTTCTGTAGATGCTGGTTTTTTTTTTTGCTTAATGTAGTCGTTTCTTCTTTTATACAGATTATGGTGTTGGTTTAAATGGTTTTGAAGCTGCTGCCTGTTTTTTTCTTTCTACAGCTGCTGCATTTTTTTCAACCTTACATCTGAAACCATTATTACAGTTGTTGTCTTTTTATATTGTACTGTCGCCACTCTATTTTTTTCCGTGGAAATCATAGTAACTAGTTTATGTCGTTGCTGTTATTTTACTTTGTATAGCTGTTTCACTTTTTTTCACTTAGTATATTGTGGGTGAACCTGACAATCCAACCGCGTCATCCGCTATCCGTCCGACCCAACCCGATAGTAAGTGTGGATGGGTGGCGGGTTGAAAATTGACAATCCATTTATGAGTGGGTGGATTAATTTTAAAGTAAAAGTCCACCCGATTTGCCCGTTGCCCACCCCTACCTACTGAAATTCATCCTCCTCTTCCTCCTATTTCTATTCTTGGTCCTCGACCAAAACCTTCATCCGCTAAGAAGGCCAAGTCTGTTGGAGAACCTAGTAAAACTGATGGTTGGTTTTTACTGTGTCTGAAGGCAACTCCTCCTCCGAAGAATCTGCTACCTCTGCTCCCTAAATATGTTGATTCTTAGGGGGAACTGCTTAGTTTAGTTAGACTTTCCTTTTTTAGCTGGCAGAATCATTTTGTGTTGTTGTCCTTCTGTTTGGACAAACATATGTTTAGGGGGAATCGTCTTAGGTTATCTTTGCTATGTAATGCTTTTTGCTGTCTTTCTATATGCTTGGACATGCATCTCTGTCGTATCTCTATTTTTGTGGTAATGAAGTAGTTCCTTTCTCTAAGAGTCTTGGTTCTGCTGTCGTGTATTCTTTTTTTAGGTCTTAGCAGACTTATCGGACGAAGGGGGAAATTGTTGACATATACAAACGACGTCGTTTGCACTTCAAATGGAGTATTTCACTGACGCAGCCTGCTACGACGACGTCTTAGGGAATCGTCATTCCAAGTCACAAAGACAGAGCTCAATTCTTCAGCTTCCTCGAGCAAAATTATTCTCTCTCATTCACTCTAAAAAACCTCGCGATATCTTCCTCGTTTCTGCTCCAATAGAAGTCGCCTCTCTACTAGAACTCATGATGGCCACTACTGTTGATCCTCTCATTAGCAAATGGTCATCTCCCTAAATCTCTATATATTCTGTATAAGTGTTAACGGGAAGAACTTGGGCAGTAAGTAGCAAGAGAAAAGCCTGAGTGTCTCTTCTACTTTGGGTCCATTATTGGTTGCTTCAGTAGCTCAATTCATAGTGTCTATGTACTGGATGAATTGAGTTTGGGAAGTTGTTTGTTCTTTTCTTGTCGATTTAAAGAGCTAATTAGTTATGCTCGGGTTAGGGTTCTTGCTGTGTCATCTATTATAATTTACTTCATCAAAGACCATTTTGGGGGTACAGTTGGGGGATCCAACTCGAGTGAAGCAACAAGGCGGATATGACATTACCAATCTGCCATCAAAGACCTTGTACCAACAGTTGGCTGCCATAAAGGATAATCTGACATCCCTAAGATGGACGAGAGTGTGGAGTAGCGGTGAGGAAAGTCCCGGTTGGGAAATACTTCCCTTTGTATACTTGGTAAAGAAGCGAATGAGGGTCATTCATAATATTCCATCCAATCTTAGCCAAAAGCGCCTAATTGAAATGCTCAAATTGGCAAAACACCATTCCACCATCGTGTTTACTACGTCACATATTCCGTCACGACATCCACCTTATCCAAGAATGACCCTCTTCGAATTCCCACTACAACCTCGCCACATGCTTGTCTAACAGGCCGACAAAGAGATAGGGGAAGCTTGAAACAGGACATTACATGTAGCAGCAAAGCTAGCGCAACTTATTTGATTAGTGTCTCCTTTGTTGCCCAAGAAAGTGTCCGCTGCTTCCATCCCTATAGCCTATCCAACAATTTTGCCTCCAAAAAATGGAAGATCGCCATTTTAGATTGGGCTATTAGAGTGGGGAGTCCTGGGTATTTGTCCTGAATCCCCACCGCCCCAACTCCAAGGATTTGAGCCAAAAACTCTTGATCCGGCAAGGCAACATTTTTGCTAAAAGCAAACGACTAATTTATCCAAGTTAACCCGCCGACCACTAAGTTCCTCATACTCATTTAAAAACTCAATCAGATTCTCGCACTCCCGCACCGAACCTCTAAGGAATAAGTAAGAGTTGCGAAGGAGAGCTGCGAAACCCTCTATGCATATTACAAACATTATAGGGGATATCGGGTCACCTTGACGGAGGCCTCTAGAGGGCCCAAAAAACCCTACTGGCGAACCATTCATCAGGATCGAGAATGAAGATGAGCTGAGGCACTCTTTGATCCAACCGCACCAGGTAGCATCAAAGCCTAATTTGTTTAAAACCGCAAGGAGAAAATGCCATTTGACTCTATCATAAGCCTTTTCCATGTCAACCTTTAGAGCCATGTATCGTTTCTTGCCTCGGGTTTTAATCTTTAGATAGTGCATAAGCTCATGCCCAAGAAAGACATTTTCAACTATTTGACGTTCCCGGATGAAAGCATTTTGTCCCTCCGATACGATATTAGGTAGGAATTGGTCCAGTCTTTCAGACAAGAATTTGGTAATAATCTTATACACAAACTGGCATAGGCTTATTGGCATGATCTATCGCATGTTCTCAACTATGTCCATTTTAGGGATCAGTGTCAGTCACATATGGTTGAAACTACAGAGAACTCTACCCGTCCTAAAAAAGGAACAAACTACTTCTGTGACAGAATCATCGACAGTATCCCAAAAGGATTTAATGAATTTCCTGGTGAATCCATCAGACTCTGGAGCCTGCTTCGATCCCATCAAAAGTACCGTTTTACAAACTTTCCTAGGAAGGACGTCTGCAGTGAGAAGAACATTCATTTCAGCTGTCACTTTTCTCGGTATTGGTAAATCTGTGACCCTAGCCTCCATGTCCATCACTTGAATCACCGAGGTAAAGAGAGTTTGATAAAAATCAATGTCAATGTCCGCCTTCCCTCTTTCCTCAGTGATCCATTCACCACTCTCATTACGTAGCCCAGTTATAAAATTCTGTTTCCGTCGCGCCATCGTCACCGTATGGAAGTATATTTATCGCCCTTAGTAAGCCATCGAACTCTTGATGTTTGCTGCCAGTATTCCTCCTCTGCTTCCCACTGGCGATTTAACTCCACTTCCAACATACACACCTCCTCCCAATTTATCGGATGGACAAGTTTCACTCGATCGATTTCTTATTGTAGGGTCCTAATATTACGAAGAACTACTGCAATCATAAAGTAAATGGCATAGTTTTTTCAGACGTTCCCAAAGTTGGTACATAGGGGTCCCGTGTAGGTCCTCCTGCAACACATAAGTCACCATATCCTTGACCTCCAGATTATTGGCCCATCAAGCGTCAAATCGAAAGAGAGGTTGACTATTCCGGACATATGACTTATCTGACAGGAGCAGAGCTCGATGGTCTGATCCCTGGTCTGTACAATGTTTGACTAAGGTAGGCGAGAATTGGTGAATCCAAGTCTGGGACTGGGAGCATAAAGCCCTATCCAACCTTTCCCCGGATACAAGCAGGACCCATTCGTTTATTCAACCAAGTGAATTGATCACTTTAATATCCCGGATCATGAAGCCCCAAATCATAGACAAAAGTGCGAAGGTCGAGAGACTGAGCAACACTCCACGGATTTCCATAATCTTTTTCACTCTTATGAAGAGTAGCATTGAAATCACCATAAGTAAGGTTCTGAAAACATGGAAAATAAGTAGTTAAATTTTCGCAAGTGACACGTCTTCTTTTAGTTAATTGTTCTTCGTCAAATCAAAGCACACATTTCTTTGTTAACCTTGATTTTGATTCCATCACCGTAGACATAGAAATTCATGAATACATATCGACAGATTTCCAATCGAGGTTGGTAAAATAACTTTTAATTGATCGCCATTCGGCCTCACTGAACTCTAAGCGTCGACCACTAGACAGAGATGTGAGAAAAGCTCAACTCTGGGTGGAAGGATTGAAGCTCCTGTTCATAAAACAGGTTGAAAATCCACCATGGAAGAGATGATATTAGTTCACATTCGTAACATCTGTTGCAGAAATGAAGATGAGCCCGGACCAAACCTTTCCCATTTCAGGAGATCCGATACAGGTGATGAATGATGTGGCCATGGCCGCCCGAAGCCAATCTCTAAACCAAACATTGCGTAATTTCAGTTGTGTGCGCTACACATTAATTAGTACCCCATTGCTGTTTTTATTCATTCATTGAACTTAACAACGGAGAGAAGCAACCGAGTCCTAGTGTGTCGGAATAAATCTAATTCAGTGTATTCTTTCCCCAGGTCTTTCAGGCATTTCGTCGAACGCCATGGTTGCATTCCTTCAACTTTGAACAGCGGCCCCCAAGGCCCCAACGAACGAAGGATAATGATGATGACCTGCCGCACCCGCCCGACGTGAAATAACCAGAGGAGAGGAGGAGGGGAGAAAGGAAGATGGCAGTAGTGATTGTGAGAGGCGCCGTGTGTTTGGTTCTGAGTTTGGGAGCCATTCTCTCGTGGTTTTACGTGGATGAACTCTACCTCTGGATCCCTTCGTCAAAGCTTCCTCTCAAGGTGACTAAACTGCCCATCGCTTTTCTTCTACATTTTGATCATCCAAGCCCCTTTCGTTTCTCTCTGCACATTGGATTGCAATCAGATTAGGGTTTGCGAATTGGGGAAATTGGTTGAAGAATTCTCGATTTTCCAAATCTGTAGCTTCATTTGTGATGTCGAGAAGTTATTGGAAGTTGGAACACGGTCACGTTCATTGACCGTTTACCGGCGTGACTCTATGGGTCAGGGCCCGTTAAGTCTGGAAGAGAGTAAAGCGTGGCCCATAGACTCCGTGAAGGCCCGACCAGTAAAACCACCACCCGGTCACAAAACCAGCTCGGAACAGTCTAAAAGCCGCTCCGGTTTTATGTAGCGGTTGGCGAGCGGCCGAGGTGGTTAACCATTCGAGTCGATCGAGCCGTTCGTCCGGTTTTTGCCATTCAGCCACTAAATTTAATTAAAAAAATTGCAGATAATCGAAAATTGAAATAAACCAAAAAAGTCGGACTCTCAAACTGAATCCTTATTTCCATTTCACAATTTCGAAGGAAACAAATGAGCTCTGATTAAGAAATGTCCACTTATTATAATCCAAACTCAACAATTTTATCATCGAACTCATCATCATCATCATCATCATCATCATCGCCGACAATTGTTCTAGTTCAAATAAGTAATAACAATACAATAATGATAGTATCTATCCTCACCTGCTCGTTTTCCGGCAACGTCATCAGGTCGAGCAACGACTTGTTGTACTCCCAGAACGACTGCAGCGCGTTGGCACGGTCCTGTCGACACCGGCACTGACGAGGTCGACGAACGACACCCTGTGTCCCGAGGACTCCAGCAGGGTCCAGATTTTGTACCACCACCAGCTCCTGTGCTGATCCTGTGGACCAGCACAAAGTGCGTCGTCAATGCCGCTGGTGCCGACCATGTGTTCGCTGAAATGCCTCCTGGAGTATTGCCAATAGTGGTCGTTTCTTTGGATCCCATTTTAAGTAAATTCAAATTGAAATCACGTGCGACAACAACGATTCCTCCGATTCTATATATAGCGAGGAAATCCGGTCAAGAGAAACCGGCCTGCCGGCTAGCACCAGCACCAGCAGGCTGTGGCCTGATCTTTTGACGTTTAGCGGTGAAAGTAATATCAGAGCTTTCTTATTCTTCAACTTCTCTCTTTATGGCCTTGTCAGAGGTTGTGTCCTCGGAACCCATCATGCCCGATGAGGCTTGGGATGGTTGGTCGGGGGAAGTGTTGGGTCAAAAGTCGGAGGGCGGCGAACTCGTGGGAGAAGTCCGCCGGCGGTGGTGAAGGGAGAAATCCGACAGGGTTCTGATCATGTGAGGTTTTAATTTTTTTTTACTTTTTAATAGTTGAAAATGATGTGAAAATTTTGAATAATTAAAAATTATTTTTAATATTTTTTAATTGCCATGTCATACATTTAACTGTTAATTATAAGAGTTGACTGCCAAATCAGCAAAACTTAACGGAGTTAGACGGAGAGTGACCAAACTTGGAACGTTTAACTAATTTTAATGACCACGAATGGATTTAAATATTTTTAGTGACCAAACATGAATATTTTTAGTAATCCAGTGACCAAGCTTGCAATTTACCCGGAAAAGTTGGTTGGAAGGCTTTCGTCGCCCGCCCGCCAAATTTACCGAACACGCCGGCGGCAGGTGCTTCTCGTGGCGACAAATAACAAGACGGACGTTGTCTTGGCAAAGTCAAGAAAGAAATAACAATTAACAAAGAGCTGGGAAGTTTGGAAAATATGTTTCTTTTTTGGTTCTTGTAGTTGTGGGTTTGGTGGCATGTTGCTATTTGCTGCAGTTGGAAGAGTCTTGGTTTCCAAGGTTGGTTTGAGAAAGGAGTTGCTGCTGAGTTTTCCTTTGAAAACTATATGCCTTGCGTTCCACTCTTCTGCTTATGTAACACAACACCTACTCTCTCAGCTTTCCCCGTGTGTTCATTGGCTTACCACTTTTCTTTAATGTCAGCTTCCCATAACTTAAAACCAATTTCAATATGTGGAGTCTGAGATTTTTGGCACTCGGATTCTGGATCTCCACTTCTTGATTTGGGTGGTTCCTTTTATAATGGATAGTTTTCCCAAATCGATATAATGGGGAAGCAAGGGTCTCCCAGAAGTCCGCGTCCTGATACATCGATGAAGGATTATCAGACAAGAAGTTGTTCTGAAGGTGGGTTTGCAGGAAATGATCCTTCCTTAGGTAGGAGGCTGTCAGGTGGCGAAAGTGCCTGGAAAGCCAAAGCCATGTCACTCCACAGTTTAAGGCAAAATGATATTCATTCCGCCAAGATTGGTTCTTGTAAGGGAGCTTATGTTGGGAAAAGGCTCACCTGGTTTAGCAAGCATGTGAGATCAGTCGCCACGATGTTGGCATTCGTGGGTTTTCTTTTCATGCTAGATTCATTAATGGTTTCTGTTTTTGATTCCATGTCGCTTGGAAAAAACATCTCAACATTGACCAAATCAAATGATGTATGTACTGCAATGTTTTATTGGCTCTTAATCCCTTTGAATTTATTGCTTCCCTATTTTCTCTGTCATAATCTTGTGTTGTGTTCACGTGAATCATAGAAGGATCATAAAGAGGAAGGGAAGCCACCGGTGCAGATGTATGGCCGCCTCTTAAGCTTAGCTTCTGGTGCACTTGCTGAGGTACAATGCAATTAGTTCATATGCATAACATAAGCTCTTGGATAATACAAATTTACATATGTTTACAAATTCTGCTCTGCTTTAGAAAGAGTTGGAGCAACAAGAGACAAGGTTTTGGAAGCAACCTTATGCTGCTAAGGCAAGTGTATGGAAACCTTGTGCAGATAAAAAAGTTCCTGAATACCCAGCAGGTAACTGAATATTCTTTCTCTTATCTTAATGTATTTGGACAATGTTGGTTAATTACTGCCAACCTAATGCCTGGACTTTCAAAATGGTTTAATCGAGACAGGAAGATTAGGGAAAAGTAATGGCTACATAGTGGTGAGTGCAAATGGTGGTCTCAATCAACAAAGAGTTGCTGTAAGTAATCATCAATCTTCTGGAACAAGGTGTAACTTTCTATGCATAGTCCAAATTGTTTTTATCTTAGTTTCAATTTCCATCCTTTCATGGCTGCTGCAGATTTGCAATGCTGTTGCGGTGGCAGCTTTACTCAATGCAACTCTAGTTCTTCCCACGTTTCTTTACAGCAATGTTTGGAAGGATCCAAGCCAATTTGGTGATATCTACCAGGAGAGACATTTCTTAGACATGATGAAGGAGGAAGTAGATATAGTGAAAGAACTTCCATCCCGTTTCCAATCTCTAGACACTGAAGCAATTGGCAGCCTGGTATATATATAGTGTAATACTTCAAGTTCTGTACCTTTTGTTGTTATGAGCTCGGTGTATCAGAACAATCCTGACCCTTCATCACTTCCCCCCCCCCCTTAAATTCAGATTACTGATTCTGACTTGCCAAAGGAGGCAACGCCACATGATTATCTCGAGAAGGTGCTACCAATTCTGATACGAAATGGATTTGTTCACTTGCTCGGGTTTGGGAATCGGCTTGGCTTTGATCCAATGCCTGCTCAAATTCAGGTAAATGGAAATTCCTTTATTCTCTCAGTTTAATTACAACCTCCTCCGGTCTAAGAGGACACGATTTACTTTCTACAGAAATTGAGGTGCAAATGTAACTTCCACGCTTTGAAGTTTGTTCCAAAGATCCAAAAAGTTGGTGCATTGTTGAGACAAAGGATAAGAAAGTATGAAGCTGAACCGACTACGTTAGATAAACAACTCCTGGGTGACTACATCTCTAGCAATATTCCCTCCAAAAAGCCATCTAATGCAACAAAACCACCAGTGAAATACCTTGCTCTGCACTTGAGATTTGAGATTGATATGATCGCTTACTCCTTATGTGACTTTGGAGGTGGTACTATTGAAAAACAGGAGCTTCAGGCTTATAGAGAAAGCCACTTCCCGCTGCTCATTAAACGTTTAATAAAGTCCAAGTAAGTTTCTAACTTAGCTTTCCAAACTCTCCCATATTTATTGTGGAAGAATGTTGGTGTCGCCTCATCCATATTTACCCTTCTTCCCCTCCCAACAGGCCAGTATCCACAGAAGAGCTAAGAAAGATAGGCAAATGCCCATTGACACCAGAGGAAGCAGCACTGGTCCTTGCTGGACTTGGATTCAAGACAGGAACTCATATCTACCTTGCGAGGTCTCAAGTCTATGGAGGGAACTCAAGAATGCATTCATTCATCAGCCTTTACCCTAACTTGATCACCAAGGAAACTCTCCTCACACCAACTGAACTTGCTCCCTTCAGGAATTTCTCGTCACAGATGGCTGCACTTGACTTGATCGCATGTGCCACTGCAGATGTGTTTGCAATGACTGATTCGGGAAGCCAGTTGGCATCATTGGTTTCAGGGTTCAGGAGTTACTATGGAGGTGGGAATGCTCCCACGTTGAGGCCAAACAAGAAGAGGCTTGCTGCAATTTTGTATGAGAATAGCACGATAGGATGGAATGGTTTTGAAGAGAGAGTAAGGCGAATGATTGAGGAAGGTCAAAGGGTGAGGACCAGGCGTTCTGGGAGAAGCGTGTATCGGCAACCCAGATCTCCAGAATGCATGTGTAGATTGTAGTAAATGAAGAATGTTGTACATAAGCTTTTTTCTCATCATTTCCTCAATTCTTTATTTTGTTAATCAGACTTGCTACATAAATGATCTTTTCCCAGAAGGGGTTGGTTTGGATTTTGGAAGCAGTAATAAATACTTTCAATAGATAATCTTGGTGTCGTTATCCCAAGTCATAGACAAATCAAAATGAATTAAATAAGGAGGGAAGAAGAAGGAGAAGGAAAACCAAGAACAACTTATTCCTGTCTCCTGGAAAACAAAATCCTAGATGGGATGTTAGAGTTCTAACTACTACTCTTCCTTTCCTCTCTCTATATCAATCAAACCTTAACTGGAAATGATGTTTTTCCTCTAACAAACCAGCAAGCAAAACCTAAACAAAACTCTGCTGCTACTGATCTTTCTTGATTCAACTTTTCAGGATGGAGGAAAGAAACGATTGAGGTTGAAAGGAAGGGTGTAGAATTCTTCATTCCTGCTGTCTCCTTGGAATGATCTGAATTTAGCCCACCATGGCATTCCTCTATCTCTGGCACTATCCTTGTAGTCAAGTGTATTGTCCAGGAACACTCCTACTATCAACGCCACGGTTGGGGATGAGAAGAAGATTGTGTTCAGGAAATCATTGAACTGCACTCAACCAGTCAAAGATCACAAACAACAGTGGGGAAGAAGAGTTTGTTAGCAAATTGGACATGAGAAGGAATCAAGAATCACCATGCAAAATGCGAAAAAGACATTCCTACCCAGCCGGCTTTCGTGTGAGATGGACCATGGTAAGCCTTGGAAGTGTATTCCCTGAAGTACTCAGGGATAGACAGACCAAGAAACAAGGCAACTCCAACGAGGAACAGGTTCCTCATTGAGTTCATATTTGTGAATTGCAAGAATGACAAACCAACGGAAGTTGACAGACAAGAACCAGGAAATAGTTTAATGTCAAAATTAGAGTTCAGATGTCAAAGGAAATGGAGGAGAAGGAGAAAGCATTGCTACTCACCAACAAGACCAAAGAGGACACAGTACAAAGCAACAAATATTGGGAATGGTACTGATGCAAATAATGCTCCAAATTTCCCTGTGAGAAGAATTTCTACCAAATGAGATTTATAGATAATGGAGGAATTAACAAAGGAGCAGACCAACCAAAGTGAGTGATAGTCATTTACCCAAGATCGAGAAGAAGATCATGAAACCAGCTGCAATTTGAATGACTCTCCGACTGCCAACACGAGTGCTCCCAAGCAATCCCACATTTTCTCTGTTAAAAATTACCCCACAAGGAAGAGTTAGTCTGCCATTTTTATCTCTTAGACATTGCTCTCGATCTAAGTAGCAGATACTTACGCGGACACAGTGCAACCACTCAATGTTCCAAACATGCCACTAAGCAGTATGCCAATTCCTTGCCAGCCAATTCCGCGGCTAAGCACATGAGCTGGTGGCGGCGTGGCACTTGCTAGCCTTGATGCAGCTTTTTATCCTCCAGTTGACTGTGTCAATAGAAGAAAGAAATCCCCTTTATAAGTGCATATGTACATGACTCATGAAAAGCAACCATTGAGGCTGTTCTTTCTTATATTATCAAGTTTTACCTCAATGAGTGAGACTATAACAGCAGCCATCATCCCAAAGCAATGACCAGCATCAAATTTTGGGGCTCCCCATTGCAGTGGATAAGGAATCTTTATCCTGCAAAACATTAGTAGTAAAATATCGGCATAGAAGAGAAGGGAGAAACCAAAGCCTTTGAGATTGGAATTTCTAAACGCACCATGGAGCAGCAGAAATGAGGTAGGCCCTGTCAGTTCTGCAGTTGCCCTGCGTAAGGTCTGGACGATGCTTGTATGCGCCACTTGCTGTCAAGAGATGTGCATATGCCCATATTACAGTAACCGATATTAGCAAGGCGAACCGCTCTAGTACTGGCAATTGCCTGAAGTGAAAGTTCTTCAAGTATTGTAAACACACAAAACGAGTTATGATCACGGATTAAGATGATTATGGACATGAACTGAAAGGGATTGTGATGCGTGGTTAGATGAAGCACCTAAGAGAAGGTTACGAATAGTATGAGCATGGGCACTCCAATTTCCACACAACGCCCAACCTGGCAAATGGATCGAGGCAAAATGTACAAGAAGATTAGGATGGCATTTTCAGCTAAGGGTGATTTGCATCAAAAGTCCAGTATCAAATGTCATATACCACAGGGAAGCCTCTGTCAAATAGTCCAAAATCCAGTAAAGAAATGACTGGAACCATCCCAAGTGGGCTGAAGAACCTGCAATCAATAAAATGAATTTTACAGGTTCATCAATCATCATCAGATTTTGTGAAAGCCACAAGCTTCATCTGTCTGAGTGAGGTTGATCAGTATTACCTGGAACAAATGGCCCACAATTGACTGTATCCAAGAATTATCTGAATGCTAGATGATACTATTAAAGCACCTTGTACAGCTCTCATGGTGCTCAAAAACCTCTATACACAGTAACCAAAAAGGCACTAATTAGAAGCCAAACAAAATTTCTTAGTTTAATAGTCTGTGAAAATTCATCGATCAAACTTTAATAATTCAAATTGTGACGGACTAACTACATTTGCTATGGGAAAAAAGAAGTCTTTTGACTCAGACTAACATAGATTTTTGTCCCGTAAACTACTGGAGATTTCACGTCAACCAGGCAATGCAATGCAGAATTCAGAGAGAACTGTGCAAAAAGATCAGGACTTTACTAACCAAATGATCGTCCTCTATTCTGGTCAAAGCAAGGTCGTGAATTATTGACATGATTGGGACCATAAATGCGTAGGAACCCCCAATCACGGTGGGGAGACGTGTCCCAAACAGTGTCTGAATAAGGGTATTGATCCCCTCTACGAACAGTAGAGTCTGTACCACTCTGACTTTATCCCCCTGTCACCATCATCAAAATTATGATCAACACAGACAAAAAACAAAAGGGGAACTTTTGTTCTTTTTGTTTGCTCCAAGATGGATAGAATTGTTTAATGAACTACTTACATGGTCACTGCCCATCAAAGGGACAAGGAAGGTTGGAATCATAACGGCTGTCCCTAAAGCCAAAATGTAATGCTTGAAACCCAAAGCAATTGACTCCCCTGCTTTCACATGAACAAGGTGGAAAAGGAGTTGAGAATCACAGAAGAAAAAATAAGGGGGCATTGATGGAAGAAGAAGAGCAACTCAATAGGCATTGTCACCCCAAGAAGGATTGGAATCAATACAGTACTCCAAACTGTGGAGCTGATCCATTGCCGGGTGACTTATCTCTTCAGGCTTTGGATCAACCATTTTTTGCTGCCTCAACTAAACCCTGCTCTGTAACAACCAGAAAAAGCTCGCAACTTTCGGTGCCAAAGACTAACGGGTAGCGATCAAATGAATCAAATCAGAGACTGACAGAGAGAAAACAACGGATCCCTTCTCAACTATGGAGCAAAGCAAGATGATTGACTCCGGAGGAAGAAGAAAGGAGAAAACAATACGAGATAGAAAACCGGAGAAAAGGGGGTTTTTCTGGCGGAGGGGGTAGAGAGGTAGAAAGGGTCAGTTGAAGAACTAAAGAGAGACTGAGGCAATAGAAGCTAGTCTAAAGAAGTAGCCGCTTCACTTCACTTCACTTGCCGCCCACTTAAAAAGCTTGTGGCTTTCTAGTGAGAGAGTGACGAGAGAGAGACAGTGATTCTGTTTGATGGATGTTTCTATTAATTTCGATTTGGATTTTTGCGGGGGAAAATAAATAACTGTTGGCTATTTAGCTTTTTGATATGCCGAAAGGGAGAGAATAGAAAGTTGTCGTTAACCTTTTCTATAATGCCAAAACTGCCCTCCAAGCAAACCTCTCTTCCTCTCCCAAAGGCTTTTTCTGATATGTTACCGTTGCCTTTTGCTCCCGTTCATGAGTTTCCACTTGCCCAACTCACTCACTTTACCTCCTTAGTGCATTTCTCTTTGGGTTTCCCCTTTCCCTAATATATAATTGTTTTCGTCCTCAAAGGTCACATAGGTTAGTGGTGAAATCCTTAGTCTAGCGGTGAACTCCATAGTGTTTCAAGAAGCGGTAGATCTTGTATTTGACTCCATCAAGATCCTCTATGGTGTTTCTGGAGGCATTTAATGAAAATCTTCGTGATGAGCTCAAAGAGCTCAAGTAGGTGAACCTCCAAATTTGATCTCGCTCTACCGCTACAAAATTAACTGACGTGCTTAAACAAATAACGTCAGAATAATAAGCAAAACATTAGAGGTCCTAATAGACAATAGACATGCACGTAAAATGTGTCAAATGTCATTATACACGTATGGAAGAATTCCATAAAGACTGAGTAGTATGCATGCGAACTAGAATTGGTCTATTGATAATATCACTAGATTTGAACTTTGAGATTTCATGTTTGAATCTCTAAAGTAGTACTTAAAACACACAAAAAAAGTCAACTTAAATTACTTTAAAAAAAAAACTTAAGAAAGTAAGAATGCATTTCACACTTAAGTAAAAAAAAAGTGATGTGTGCTTCGTAGTATACCGAATTGGACTGGACTAGATATAAGGGTTAATTGCATGATTGGTCACTAAGATTACAAAAAACGTTTAGGTTTGGTCACTCGAAATATTTAAATCCATTGGTGATCCTTTAGTTTAGCGAAACCGTTCACATTGGTCACTCTCTGTTAGTCGCCGTCAATCTCCATTAACAAAGTCCGTTAAGTGATGACGTGGCGGACAAAATCGTCTAATCAACCCTATTTGAACCGAAAATAGTGAGACCCGACTTGCCACATCACTAAAAACTGCCATGTCATCTGAACCAACCCAACCTCTAATCAAACCAGACCCGACCTTTGAACTGACCAACCCACACAAATTAAATCCCTAAAACCTAAACCAGAAGTCCACTTCTCTCTTCTTCGCCTGCGCCTCCTTCCTTCTTCTTCCCCTTTGTTCGAAATTTCACCAGCGACAAAGGAGGGATGGAGTCGCCTCCATCGCCACTCACTCCCTCGCTGCAACAAACACCCAAACACATATCTCACTCACTCACTCTCTCTCTATTCTTCTGCCCGTCCAAGCTTTCTTTCTCCGTTCCAATCGTTAATTCTTTCTCCTCTTGGATCAGCTTCATGGTGGACTATTTTCATGTGTAAACAATTTCAATATGAGGGATGCAACAAATAATGAATAAATTACCATGAATTCCCCGGTTTCGAGAAGAAGTCTAGGCGACCCAGATGCATAATTTACCCCTACCATTATCTCAGAGTCGTTCGGCGCCGATGCAGATGGCGAGATGGAGCTCTTAAATCCCAGCAGTTCACCTGCACAAATGATTAATCCTTGTTAATCAATGAAGGACGGACAAAACTCTTAATGACACAAAGTTTGAGTAGTAATTAATGTAATTAATAATAATCACCAATTATATCGGTCGTCAATCGCCCATTGGAGTACCTCCCTATTTCGACGCCAGAATGGAAATCGATGCCGGAAGGATGGTAATTGGCTTTCATCTTGTTGTTGTTGCCAGCGTCGAACATAGAGTCTCCGAATATGAAATAGCAAGGCACTTCCTGCTCCCGAGATCCATCGGCGAGTGAGATCTGTGTTTGCGTGTTTGTTGCAGTGAGGGAGTGAGTGGCGACGGAGGCAGCTCCATCCCTCCTTCGTCGCCAGTGAAATTTGAACAAAGGGGAAGAGGAAGGAAGGCGGCGTAGGCGAAGAAGGGATAAGTGGACTTCTGGTTTAGATTTTAGGGATTTAATTTGTGTGGGTTGGTCAGTTCGAAGGCCGAGTCTGATCTGGTTAGAGGGTTGGGTTGGTTAAGATGACATGGCGGCGTTTAGTGACGTGGCGGGTCGGGTCTCACTATTTTCGGGTCAAATAGGGCAGATTAGACGATTCTGTCTGCCACGTCATCACTTAATGGACTTCGTTAACGGAGATTGACGGCAACTAACGGAGAGTGACCAAATGTGAACGGTTTCACTAAACTAAAGGACCGTCAATGGATTTAAATATTTCGAGTGACCAAACATGAACATTTTTTGTTATCTCAGTGACCAAGCATACAATTAACCAATAGATATAATTAGAAAATTTTGATTTTATAGGCTTTCTTTTTTTTAAAAAGGTATTCAATAAAAAATAGCCAAAACTTTCAATATGTTGGACATATATCGTCATATGTTAGTTTTACCGTGAAATATGCTGACATGGGCACATGGCTAATAAAAGTTGTGTCGAGGATTGATTATGTGATGTGTCACGGAGATAATATTTTTATTTTTTATATCAATTATTTACCCATATTCAAAAACTCATTGAAATTAATGATATCGAGAAAGAAAAATAACCATAAAAAAGAAAAGAAACCAATAATTTTTTCGACAACATGAAGCAACCCTTAAGAAGAGTTGCATGCATAAGCTCTTGAGTCTGAACATTATATCTTGATATATGGTGATCTCGGTTGGTGGTTAGTGAGCTAGTGGTGTGTTGTCGATGTTCGTCTGCAGAAGTAACAACTGTTGGAGAATAATTTTTGTTTCAAGAAGAGATATGATAATGGCTTATTGAAGATAGTGACGGCTAGATAAAACAATGACGAACTTGGGCGAAAGATGTAGAGTCGCTTCATGACGTCGAAATAAATGAGTGGGTTTTTTCTCCGTATAAAATATTTTAATATGACGTAAATAAACGTTGAAGTGCTAACGCAAATATTCTATCTTCAGTCACGTCACAGATCATGTCCCATCACCATTTCCATTCGTCACACCAACACTGTTAATGGTGAAACTAATTAATGGTTGTATTTGTCCAATATATTGAAAGTTTTGACTAATATTTCTGTCCACAACTTCAAAGATTTGACTATTTTTTAATATTAACCCTTAGAAAAATGTAAAAGTGAACCAAACAAAATTGTGTCAAAATTTATCATTTGAAAATACAATTCAATATCCAAACAGCTCCTGGAAATAGAGTATTAAAATTTAGATGGACTCAAAGGAAGTCACCAAACGCATTTGCACGTTTGATCTGTTTTGACATCTATACCTGTACGTTTGATTCTCCTTCTTTTTTTTTCACGGTTGATTTTGTGATTCAGGATGACAACGGTGGGGTCCTAATGGCCAGAGGAATTTTCTACGAGGGTTTGGTCGATCCAATGGTGATAGAGTTGATGGCTTTTCGGGACGCGCTACGATGGTGTGGGGGCGGGGCTTGCAGGCGTTCGCTTTGTTGGTGATGCTAAGGTGGTGATTGACAAGATAAATGTCAGGATCACTAGGGACGCGAAGGCCGAGGCTATTTTTCAAGAAGTTCGCATTCTCCTCAATGACCACTTCGATTTTAGTGTGCAATTTGTAGGTAGACAGAACAATAGGGTGGCCCATATGGTGGCAAAAAAAGCCCTGGATTTGTTTCCTACAGAGGAAATGGTTTTGATTTCCAGGCATGATTGGGTTTGGAGGTCGAGTTATTATAACATTGTTATTCTTGGTAATACAAACAATCTTTTTCGTAAAAAAAATAATGATAATTATGAATCCTACTGGACCCATATCCCACCTCATTCTTAAAAAGTCAAGAAAACATGAACGTTTAATAATGTGAGGAGAAAAGGATAGGTAGGAAAATTTTGCGTTATCTTGGAGTGGTGTTTCTGGTAAAAAAATAACGAGCAAGGGAGGTAGGTTATGATCATTTTATTAGTGCAATAAAAAAATAGTTGCGTTTCATTTTTGTTGTTGGACTAGCATAGGCAAGGAATAAACTAACTCACGAGTAGGGTGAAAATCGGTACGGTATTGGTATCCCAATACCAAATATCGAAATCTCGAATTCCAAATTACACAATAAACTCAATCCCAATCCCAATCTCTAAATAATTTCGGTATCTCAATCCCAATCCCTAAATATTTCGGTATCCCAATCGGTATTATCGAATACAAAATTAATTACATTTGCAATTAAAAATTAAATATATAAATTAGATTTTATTGTTTAATTTAGGGCAATGGGACTAAGCAAAGAGTCTTGAGTTCGCCTAGAGCTAGGATATGGATAAGGAGAATGGAGGAGATGTTACATCTCAAATTCTTGTAATTGGTAATCTTTAATTTGACGAATGCGAGATTGAGAGACTACTAATTCTTGTGTTTGCTTTTTGGTGTTATGAAAATAACAAGAGATATTAGGTGAGAAACGAGAGTGACTTAAATTGGAAAGTCAAATTTGAGTTGAATGAGAACTTCTAAGTTCTAAGTTATGAAATAGTGATGGAATGATCTATGTATAATTAAATGACACTCTTGGTGGTTGAGGGTCATGTAGTAGTTGATGAGAGATTCTAGTGGAGAGGATAAAATACACACTAGCTTATATTTCGGTATTGATCGGTATTTCGGTATATACCGATCCCATCCCGTAATCCCTAATGCCGAATAACAATTGAAACTCAATCCCAATCCCAATCCCAATAAATAATACGTGTATTCGGTAATACCAAATATAGACAAATTCGGTATGGTATTTGGTATATACCAAATATCGATACCAATCTTCCAGCCCTACTCACGAGTTAATGGAATTGTGCGTCACATAACTTTCTGGATTCTACTTTTCTTATTAATAAAAAGATGCTTTTATTGAGAATCATGGGGTATTAGGCGGTGAATGTTATGGGACAATTCAAGTACCACATCGAAAATACAAGTTTGGGGAGGATACGCAAGAGTAAAACTGTGCGGGTTTAGCCCAAAGCGGACAATATCGTAGTAATTGAGCAGCCCTATTCCAACAAGTGGTATCATACACCTTGTATCGATGGGCTTCTCTCTACAAGGTTGATCCGCCAAACCCGATGTAGCCCAAACGTGGATCTCTTGTGGATCCACCAAACCAGACGCATATCTCAAATCCCGAGGTCGCCGAATAAGGGTCCACCGAACTGACGTCTACCTCCCAAGTTCCGCTGAACTAGACTCTGATACCACTTGTTGAAATCGGGTGCTCAATTAGTACGATATTTGTCCGCTTTGGGCTAAACCCGCACGGTTTTACTCTTGGGTGTCCTCCCCAAAAGGCCTCGTACTATTGAGCTTGGTGGACACTAATATACAAGGGTTCCGTCCCTTGTATTTCCGATGTGGTACTTGGATTGTCCCGTGAAGATCCTACTTGCATTTTCATGCAAATCTAATAGGGATGGCTGACTTATCGACTAATCGTGAAGTTTTCCACTTTGTATGTATGCTGCGGGATCAAAGTCGTCTAAGTTTTAACGTGATCAGTTGGAGTAATGTGTAAATGTAGACATGTGCAACAAATATCTTATTTTATAGAAAAATATGAGAATTATAAATGTTTATATTGTAATACTTCAGACAAATTTTATATAGAGGAAGTATATGAGAGATTCATAGTTCATAATATTAAAATTCAATTTTAACTAACAAGACACATTCTGATGTTAAAGCCGCTTAGTGATAATCTATTTAACAGTTCTGAAATGGAAACAGAGAACAAACACGATTTACGTGGTATCCCTGGAACTCCAGGACTAATCCACGGAAGACCGAGAACACTCTTCGACTACTAATCTTACTGATGATAATTATTGATGATACATGAACACAAGCTGCACTACAAATACCCTACGTTTGCCGAACCCTAGCACTCCACGATTAACTTCACTACGTGGGCTAAATCAAGGTTGCATGGGCCTAACGATTATTAAGACTCTACTGGGCCATTACTACATACGTACTAAACATACAATAAACTGCAGTCTATATATTTAACAGCCTCCCCCAAATTGATGCCGGGTCAAGAGCATTAATATGTCAGACAGAAAACGGTGCTGACTGCTCGTGAATGCCTTTGTGAGGAGGTCTGCAACTTGATCTTCAGTACGTACGTAGTGTAGTGCAATCGAACCATCTCGTACTTCATCTAAAATATCTATGTGCTTTGTACGATCATGCAACACTGCATTCTCTACTATGCGGATTGCACTTGTATTATCCACAAATAAATCCATGGGACTCGAGCAATTCACGCCCATATCAGTAAGTAGCTGCCTTAGCCACGTCAATTCAGAAGCAACATCAGACATTGCCCTGTATTTAGCTTGAGTCGATGATTTCGAAACTTTATCCTGCTTTTTGTACCGCCAAAAAATAAATGAATTCCCAAACTAAACAAACCACCATGTAGTAGATCGTCTGGTGTCCACGCACCCAGCATAATCTGAGTCGGAGTACGCTCTCAAGGCGGCCGAACCTGTAGAAGGAAAGTATATTCCCACTTCCTTTGTACCCTGCAAATAAGGGAGTATATGATATACTGCAGCTAAATGATCAGCTCGAGGATCCCCATAAATTGACTGACCACCTGTACGACATAAGAAATATCAAGCCGAGTTGCTGATAAGTAGATTAAGCTTCTGACTATACTCCGATACTGTGATCCATCTCTAACCTTCTCGCATGAATCCCTGCTCAATCACTAATTACACTCCATGGGAGTATTGACAGGCTTGAATTCTTCCATATTATGGTCACTCAATAGATCAACAATATATTTCTTTTGGCTGAGCAGAATACCTTCCTTAGTTCGAGAGACTTCTAACCCGAGGAAGTATGATAGATCTCCTAAATCCTTGATCTTATAGGCCTTCTGTAACCCCTCTTTCAAGTGTTGA